GGATCAATGTTCGCCAATATTTTCAAGTCTTATTGAAAATGAGGTGCAACTCCAGAAATATGGGACACGGATAAGAATGGGCGAAAAAACACTACAAGTGCCATAACTTGTGTACGGCGCTCACTTTAGTGCCATAACTTTTTTTTGGATCACTTTAGTGCTAAAATTTTTGAAAAACGATCACTTAAGTGCTAAAATTTTTAAAAACGATCACTTAAGTGCCAACTCCGGTGCCGTACACAATTTTTCGCGGGAAATCTAACATGGCATTTTTTTATTAATTTCTGAAGCTGACGTGGCTCGTCGGAGTCTCGCCGGAGATTGGCACTTAAGTGATCGTTTTTCAAAAATTTGAGCACTTAAATGTTCGTTTTTCAAAAATTTTAGCACTTAAGTGATCGTTTTTCAAAAATTTTAGCACTAAAGTGATCCAAAAAAAAGTTATGACACTTAAGTGATCGTTTTGCCTCCGACTTGGCATCAAAGTGATCCGAGAAAAAGTTATGCCACCAAAGTGAGCGCCGTACACAAGTTATGGCACTTATAGTGTCCTTTTGCCGATAAGAATGCGTACTTACATCTCGAAAAGCAACTCATCAGCTTCGAGCATATGAACTACATGACCCATCTTTGGCGGCTTCTGAGCATTTGGATCCACGCAACACAGAGCTACCAAAAGAGTACGCTTTAGGGCTCTCGATGAGGGCTTTTCCGGCAACCTAGGGTCCAGAACTCCCTCCCGGTTTCTATTTGTAACCATTGTCTTAAGCCACTCAACAAGATTAGCCTGAAGAGGAAAAGGGAATGCTCCTCAAATGCTCAAAGATGATTGAGGATTGACGACATCGTATTGACAAGACTGACCTCTCCAGAAGCGGTGGATCCAAATTCGACTGAAAAAAAACATCAAAATTTAGATGTATGGGAAACAAGATACTGAGACTTTTCGAGTAGAAGATTACAGTAAGAGAGAGCAATCAGCTTCACCCCCATCACAAAATGATTTTAGCCATCTTCAATCCAATCAAAGTAACATTAACAGCACCCACAAATCTTGACTTCCTAAACAAACCCACAATCTCCTCCACCTTCACGTCACTGCACTCCTCAACGACCACCACACAAGCCCGGCCGACCATCGTCGTCATCTCCATCTATGCTGCGAACCGCGATAGGAAATGTCCACTAAACGCCTAATCGAAAACCACATTGAAGATGTGCAAATTGTGCAGACCAACGCAGCTTACCAGAGGCGGCGAGTCAACCCCTGTGACATCGGCGACGCCCGACTCGGACAGCGCCATGACCTCATGGTCGGTTCCGGCACAGACGTAGAGGACCTTGGAGTGGTTGCGGAGGAGGCTTAGATTGGGGATCGAGTTGAAGAAGTGCCGGTGGGAGAGGACTTGGCTGCGGAAGGCGTGGGAGGAGTGCTGAGGGAGGGGCGCTTTTGGGGTTTCTTTCCTATCTAGTATTGATATTTGATATATTTCGGGTCATTAGGGTACCCGACTCGACCCGAACCAAATTGTCGAGGCACCCATTGTTTCTCTCACTACCCGAATAGGAATGAAACCCAACCTGAAAATAACTTGAATTTTCGGGTCGGGTCGGGGTGATTTGAGTATTTTTGACACCCTAAAAGCTAGTGATTAACTTGATTATTTTTGCTTGACAAATCCGTTCTTATTGAACGAATGTGTACTTAACCCTACTGGTGCTTGTTGATCCTCACTACTTTCCAAGTTTAGCTTTACTTCGCAATTTTCTGGGCATTGTTTTGCTTTGCTACAAAGTTTGGGTGTATCCCATACAACTTTTTAAGCATTGAATACGACTTTCTTTTGACCCAAAAAACAAAAATAAAATAAAAACTTCTTGATTATTGCCTTCGCGCTGCGCGCATTTCGTCCCACCAGCTCCTGCCAATTGTTCTTGGGCGCTGTTACATTACATCAGAAACAATTAAGCAACCCTAATCTCAACTTCACCACGCCTATGTGTGTGTTATTAGTCGGCAAAAGTACACCACAAGTGCCATAACTTGTGTACGGCGATCACTTTGGTGCCATAACTTTTTTTTGGATCACTTTGGTGCCAAGTCAGAGGAAAAGAGATCACTTTAGTGCCAATTTGGCCGGAAATCCGACGTGGCATTTTTTATTAATTTTTTACGCCGACGTGGCTCGCCGGAGGCTGAGTCAGCGTGTACAGTCAGCATTTTTTATTTTAAATAATTTTTTTCAGCGTGTACAGTCAGCATTTTTAATTTTAAATATTTTTTTCCTTTTTTTTTTCTTCTTCTTTTTTCTTTTTCTTTTTTTTCTTTTCTTCCCTCGCCGGCTGGCCACCGGCGAATCTCGGGAAGGGCTGGGCAAGGGCGACCTTGCCCATGGTCGGCGAGGGGTGGCCGACCCTCGCCGGCGACAAGCGAGGCCGCCCCTCGCCGGCCCAAGCGAGGGCTGCCCTCGCCCGACGCCGGCGAGGGTCGCCCACACCCGACTCAGACGAGGGCGACCCTCGCCCGCCCAAGCGAAGGCTTCCCTTGCTCGACGCCGGCGAGGGTCGCCTCGCCAGATCCCGCGAGGGCGACCACTTGCGGCGTCGGGCGAGCCTCGAGGCTTAGGCGTCGGGCGAGCCCGACTTAGGCGTCGGGCGACCACTCGCCGCGTCGGCGAGGGAAGCCCTCGCCCGGGAGGGCGAGGGTCGCCCACGCCCGACTCAAGCGAGGCGACCCTCTTCCGCCTAGATGAGGGTCGCCCTTGCCGATCTCGGCGAGGGCGACCTCGCCCTCGCTTGAGTCGGGCGTGGGTGACCTCGCCCGATGCCGGCGAGGTCGCCTCGTTGGGCGGCGTCGGCGAGGGCGCCTCGCTGGGCCGGCGGGGGCGGCCTCGCTGGGCCAGCGAGGTCGGCCGCCCCTCACCGGCCATGGGCAAGGCTGCCCTCGCCCAGCCCTTATCGGGCTTCGTTGGTGGCCGGCCGGCGATGGGAGAAAAGAAAAAAAGAAAAGAAAAGAAAAAGGAAAGAAGAAAAAAAAAGGAAAAAAATATTTAAAATTAAAAATGCTGATTGTACATGCTAAAAAAAATTATTTAAAATAAAAAACGCTGACTGTACACGCTGACTCAGCCTCCGGTGAGCCACGTCAGCGTAAAAAATTAATAAAAAATGACACGTCGGATTTCCGGCCAAATTGGCACTAAAGTGATTTCTTTTCCTCCGACTTGGCACCAAAGTGATCCGAAAAAAAGTTATGGCATCAAAGTGATCGCCGTGCACAAGTTATGGCACTTGTGGTGTACTTTTGCCGTTATTAGTCACTAATGTTCTTATGCTATAGAATCCAGATTCCAGACTAGTATTTGCTCGGACCAAGCATATAAAGCATCATCTAGGAAATGGTGCACAGTAACTCTCAGGAAAGCAAAAAGAAAATGATAACGCAAATGAGATCCCTGCCATACAAAATATGAAGAAAAATAAATGTATACCATCCTAACAACATCTTGGATTTAAGCATCAACCAAGAAAAGAGGGAGGGGAGCGAGAAATGCCGTTGGTGGACATCTTTTCTGCCTTCTGAAGTTGAAAGACACGTACCTATATATGTATATATGGAGATATAAATCCGATATAACTTGCATAGTAGCTGTAAATGCTCGTCTTTTATAAACATAAATCATGAAACCTAAATGGACACCCCTCATGTTAATTACTGTAGCCAAAAAAAATCATAAAGTGGCAGGATCATTATGTTTATCTTTTCAAAAAAAAAGTGACGGAGGATAATTCCATCCAATTAAAGCAATATATAAAAAATTTCATATACTTTATAGGGGACGTATTTATCTACCATCTATATATCTATACATATATGTATATATAAATTCACTATGACTTGTATTTCCGCTAATAAATGCTCGCCCTTCGTAGAAATAAATCATGGAATTTGGACGGGACGGATCCCCCTCATATGACTTACTACAGCAAAAAGGCAATATACCAAAATTTTCATTGGTACAATGGGGGAGGTTCGCTACAATTCTTTACGGAAAATAAAAGGTTATAAGGATGATTTATGTAATAACATGGATCTCTACAAATTGAGATTTTTTAATTTAAATAATAGAAGATATATAAGAAATCTGCATTAATTGGTATTCATTGAACATAATAGAGATAAACGATCAAAATTTCAAAACAAAACAAGGGTGTTTGGACCAGAGCAGGTGCTTAAAAGGCTCCATGTCGGTCTTCGTCCAGACCTCAAGATCACTGGAATGTAAAATTTTTAGAGGGTATTCTCTCTTCTTGTGAAAGATAAAGATACAAGGTGAATTGAGGGTATGAGGCGTGTGAGCACCATCACATTAAAATAAGGAATACATCCTTGGAGCTTGCCTCATATGATGAGAACAAGTCGCAGAAGCTCTCGTAGAAGTGAAATCTCCTTCTTTTGGTGAGACATATTTTTCAGCCTTCTTAAATCGTATGAGTAATTTGACTAACATATGAGTAATAAATGCTCATCCTTTACAGAAAAAATCATAGAACCTGGGTGGACATCCCTCTCATTAATCTCTATAGCACAAAAATCAGACTTTTCCTATGACATGGTAGGATCATTATGTTTCTTTTCTTGGAAAAGGTGACGGAGGACAACTTCATCTAATTAAAGCAATATACCAAAATTTTCATTGGCACAACGGGGGAGGTTCACTGCAATTCTTTACGGAAAAACAAAAGCTTATAAGGATGATTTATGTAATTACACAAATCTCTACAAATTGATTTTTTTTCAATTTAAAAAATATAAAAAATCTGTATTAATCGACATGCATTGAACATAACAGAGATAAAAGACCAAAAGTTCAAGACAAAATGAGGGTGTTATTTGCTCAATATCCCCTTGAACTTTGCTACAGAGGTGCAACCGTCCCAAACTTTGATCCAGTAAATCCGCCTCCCGTTGTAACTCCAGTATGATAGTCAGTCGCTCCATCTCATCCAGCCTTGTTGAGGTTCCATTTGCATAACATTCTTGCTCTCTTCCCCGTTTTGCTTTTAGCATCAGTGACAGTGACAAATTCCCCTGCATTTGAAATGTAAAAGGAAACAAGAGTGTTAGTAAGACGAGAACCGCGACAAGCAATTCTATCGGATAGTATTGAAGGGCCGAAAGTCCCACAAGGGAAAAGTACATTTCTTGTAAGAATAATAGGGCTCATATGAATTAATGGTTTAATAAATATTTAAGTGCTAAAACGTATTGGCTATGAAAAATAGATGAAAATGTATAATTCTATTGAGAAGTTAAAGTTCCTCCGAAGAGATGCAACTCTTATAAATTGGGATATGTTTTGATGGAAGGCACCACTTGAAGGGGTATATATAAAAGAATTTGGTCATCCCTCCACCCACAATAACGCACGAAAAGAACGTTGTATTTTTATCCTCCATCGATAAGATACGTTAAGCGAAAAGTGGGTTAAGGGAGAGAAATCAGATTTCTTCGTTTCTTCCGTTTTCTACAACAATTATCTTCAAGGGAAACATTATGGATAAAGGTATGTCTTCATCCCTCTTATTGTGAAAATCATGAAGATCTAAGATCCTAGTTCATAATTTTTCCGCATAAAAGGATTACGTTGTAACTTAGAGTTGGTATCAGAGCGTGGTTTAGGATCTCATGGTTTTTCCGATTATGGTTTTTTGGGATAAAGATATATGTTGCTCTTTTCTTGTTATTTGCCTACGGTTGAAATGATTTCTTGTTCCGATTCATTTCATCGAATCTTGGACCTGTGTGATAGTGTCGGTGTGGTCTCCAAAACCTGCTCGTTAATTTGGTTGGAGATGGGCTGTTGGAAGAGACCCCGATAATGGAAGGCTCGGCAGAATGGGGCACAAAAAAAACAAAACGAATGGACGCGATGAAGAAGGCGCGTGGAAGCCACACGCATGCTGCGGTTGCAGGCGCGTGGATCCACGCGCCAGTGCGTGATGCACGCGATGAAGGAACAGGCGTGTATGATGCACGCGCCCGCCCATGCATAGGCGCGTGGGCCCTACGCACCCGCACGGCAGTTCAGGTGCGTGCGCCTGCTGCCTTCTCTCCCCTCCGCTTAATTACATTTCTGCCCTTATGTGTTTATTTACGATTCTGCCCTTGACCGTTTGATTTACTGTTTTCCCATTGACCGAATTATTTACCATTTTGCCACTGGTTGCTGAATTTACGGTTCTGCCCCCTATCGATTCTGATTTTACAGTTTTGCCCTTACGCATTAATTTACGGTTTTATCCTCAGCATGCAATTTGGTAAATGTTTATGAATGAAACAATTATAGTGTTTTACAATTTCAAGAATTCAATTATAAGTGGTTTGTTAGTCACTAAAGTGGCCGAACCACAATGTCTTGAATTTTTGAAATTGTATAATGTTTCTTTCAATTACCCATGATTAATTGATGCTATGATTGGAATTGATATATTACATATCCTTATTGGTGTCATGGACATATTGAAGTTCTTTTATTATAAGGAGTTAGGGATTAACCCAAAGGTTAATCAATTTCTTATAATTCATGAACATAATAGTTGGTAATTAATATGTCTTGTTAAATTTGTTTGTATATCCAAAGATATCAAATAAATTTTAATAGGGTGTATTTATAATTACCAAATAAAAGTTATTAGCATCATTGTGGTTTATTGTACGTTTGTATATTATAGGATCACCCAAAGGAGAACTATGATATACATGTAATGTTTTATTTGAATATGATAATGTGATATTCTCAAAGCATTAATGTATGAGTATATTCTTGTATATTTGCAGTATCTGTACCTGTTTCTCTTCATTCGCATGCTTCGTCTGTTCCTTAATTCAATGGAATGAATTTCCTTGATTGGAGTGAACAAGTCCAATTTCACCTAGGTGTCTTAGATATTGATTTAGCACCTCAAATTGGGAAACCGGCTGCTATTACTGATGAGAGCAGTGATAATGAAAAGTCTTTCCATAAAGCTTGGGAAAGATCGAACAAATTAAGCTTAATGATTATGCGAATGACAGTTGCAAACAACTTAAAGACAACTCTTCCCAAAACTGACAATGCTAAGGAATTTATGAAATTTGTGGAAGAGCGTTCTTAAACTGCTGATAAGTCACTAGCTGGTACATTGATGAGTACTTTGACCACCATGAAATATGATGGTTCACGTACCATGCATGAATATGTACTAGAGATGACAAACTTAGCGGCAAAATTAAGGACTTTGGGAATGAACGTGGATGAGTACTTAGGCTCCGTTCGTTTGCCGGAAAATATTCTCCTTTTGGAAAATATTTTCCCGGAAGTCATTTTTCGGAAAAATGTTTTCTAGGACCACAATTATCTGGTGTTCGGCTAAAATCTGAAAAAGTTTCGGAAAATATTTTCTGGTGTTCGGCGACGCGACGGCGGGCGACCGGCGGCGGCAACGGCGGGCGGCGGGTGGGCGGGCGGGCGGGCGGCGGCGGCGGCGGCAAGCGGCTACCAGCGGCCGACGGCGGTGACCGGAGATCAACTTCCTCTCCCACGGAAAACATTTTCCCTCCCATGGGCAATTTTGCCTTCACTTTGGGGAAAATGATTTCCTCTTTGTGAAAAGAGGAAATCATTTTCCTCAAAACAATGAAGGATTTGAGGGTGGGGAAGGAAAATGTTTTCCCACGGAAAACATTTTCGGCCCCCGAACACCGGAAAATGCGGAAAATGTTTTCCGGAAAAATATTTTTCCGCAAACGAACGGAGCCACAGTTGATACTTAATTCCTTGCCTCATGAACAATATGGGCCATTTCAAATGAATTACAACACTATAAAGGACAAGTGAAATGTAAATGAATTAGCCAGTATACTTGTTCAAGAGGAAACAAGGATAAAGAATCAAAAGGCTCATTCTATTCATCTCTTAAGTCATCAAGAAGCTGAGAAGAATTCCAAGAGGAAAGGTAGAAGGAGCAAGAAGAAAGGTTTACACAACCTGAATGACTCTTCTAAGGCTTCTCAAATCCACAAGAAGGAATACAATCTTATTAAGTGTCACTTTTGCAATAAAATTGGACACATGAAGAAAGATTGTCTGAAGCGTAAAGCTTGGTTCGAAAAGAAAGGTAAGCCTTGTGCTTTAGTATGTTTTTTTTTTTTTTTTTTTGGTAACTCGGGAACCCCGCACTAGCCGACACCAGGAGGTAAACCCGGAAAATACGATGTAGGGTTTCTTTCAATCCAAACCATAAAGCCAAGTGAGAATTATATGCTCACGGGGAATAGAAACAAAGCTCCAGTTGAAGGCATTGGCACTTATCGTTTGATCTTAGATACGGGGCATCATTTGGATTTGTTTTGAACCCTTTATGTACCTACTTTTTCCTGCAATTTAGTTTCTTTGCCAAAACTTGATGCAGCGGGATTCTCTTTTAAGTTTGGTTGTGGATCTTTCAGTTTGGCTGTGTTCGTTTGTGGAAAAATATTTTTCCGGGAAATATTTTCCGCGTTTTCCGGTGTTACGGGGCGGAAAATGGGAAAACATTTTCCTTCCCCACCTCCAAATCCTTCATTGTTTTGAGGAAAATGATTTCCTCTTTTCACAAAGAGGAAATCATTTTCCCCAAATTGAAGGCAAAATTGCCCATGGGAGGAAAATATTTTCCGTGGGAGAGGAAGTTGATCGCCAGCACCACCGTTGGTCGCGATCGCCGGTCGCCACGCAGTCCCCCCCCCCGCCCCCGCCTGGGCGCGGCGGCGGGCGATGGCCGCCCGGTGAAAAATATTTTCCGAAACTTTTTCATATTGGTCGCCGAACACTTTGGAAAATTATGTTCCGGGAAAACATTTTCCAGGAAAATGAGTTCCGGGAAAATATTTTCCAAAAGGAGAATATTTTCCGCCAAACGAACGGAGCCTTTTATATAAGAATAATAATCTTATTGGAACTGGAATTTTATGTGATGGTCTCTACAAGTTTAAACTTGATAATGCTTTTGCTGAGACCTTAATGACCTTGCATCATACTGTTGGCACTAAACGCAGTTTAGTAGATGAGAATTCTGCTTACTTGTGGCATAAATGTTTGGGTCATATATCCTAAGAAAGAATGCAAAGATTAGTGAAGAATGAAATTCTTCCAAATTTGGATCTTACTAATCTTGGAGAGTGTATTGATTGTATTAAGGGTAAACAAACAAAACATACTAAGAAAGTTGCCACAAGAAGCACAGAGCTTCTTGAAATTATACACACCGATATATGTGGTCCTTTTGATGTTCCATCTTTTGGTAAAAAAAGTTATTTTATCAAATTTATTGAAGATTTTTTACGTTATGGTTATATTTATCTATTGCATGATAAATCTCAATCAGCGAATGCACTTGAGGTGTATATTAAAGAGGTTGAAAGACAATTAGATAAAAAGGTGAAAATAGTAAGGTCGGATAGAGGTGGTGAATATTATGGAAAGTATGATGAATCGGGACAATGTCCGAGTCCATTTGCTAAATTCCTTGAAAGACATGGTATTTGTGCTCAATACACAATGCCAAGTACACCATAACAAAATGGTGTAGCAGAAAGGCGTAATCGTATTTTAATGAAAATGATTAAGAGTATGATGAGTTATTCATCTCTACCCTTATCATTGTGGATGTATGCCTTAAAGACTTCTATTTATTTATTAAATAGGGTTCCTAGTAAGGCAGTTCCAAAGACGTAGGAATTGGTAATTATCTAGGTTCATTTTCACAAGCCATGGAATGTGATGATTCTACTAAATGGTTCAATGCCATGGAATAAGAGTTGAAATCTATGGATCAAAATCAAGTTTGGAATCTCGTTGAATTGTCTGAAGGATGCAAAAAGGTCGGGTGTAAATGAGTTTTTAAGACCAAGCGCGACTTAAAAGGTAATATTGAACGATAAGGCCAAACTTATTGCTAAAGGTTTTACTCAGAAAGAAGGCATTAACATAAAGAGACATTTTCACCAGTCTCCAAGAAAGACTCACTTAGAATCATTATGGCTTTGGTAGCTCATTATAATTTAAAGTTACACCAAATGGATATTAAAACTGCCTTTCTTAATGAGAATTTAGAGGAAAAAGTTTATATGGAACAACCTGAGGGCTTTTCAGTTAAAGGAAATGAACACATGGTGTGTAAGTTAAATAAATCAATATATGGACTTAAACAAGCTTCCCGACAATAGTATCTTAAGTTTAATGATACCATAACTTCTTTTGGATTTAAGGAAAACACTGTTGATCGGTGTATATACATGAAGGTCAGTAGGAGCAAGTTTATTTTTCTAGTTCTGTATGTTGATGACATTTTGCTTGCTACTAATGATCTTGGTTTGTTACATGAAACCAAGAAATTTTTCTCTAAAAATTTTGAAATGAAAGATATGGGAGAGGCAACGTATGTGATAGGAATAGAAATATTCCGTGATAGATCACAATGATTGTTAGGGTTGTCTCAGAAAGCCTATATTGATAAAATTTTAGAGAGATTTAATATGGATAAATTGTGACATTCCGAATTTTGGCCCATTTTTGAGATTTATAAAAACGGGTATTTCGTCTGTGCGCTTATAGTAAAAATCTCGCCCGGGAACTAATCACTCCCGGTTATTATTTTTAAATCTTGAGATTTCGCTAGAATCGCACTCGATCAAATCGGCCGTTATTTAGACCCCCGAACTTGGCGCCGATTTTTGGGAGTTTCGGACGAAATAAATTGGACGGTGTCAATATTATCGTAGCCAGGCTGTTGAGATTGTCAGAATAATGGAAGAATGGGAGTTTTTGACCGGGTGCGAATTTGGACTAGTAGACCTCCTCGCTATAGTTTGATTTAATTAATTCGGCATTTGTCCTTTTTATATGCGAGGCTTATTTTGGACCGGTAGATCGCTTTCGATTTTGAATTTGGGCAATCGGATCGCAATTAATATTTGATTGAATGTTTATTTATTTTCTCTAAAGAAGAATCTCGTAAAACAAAGAGCGTCAATCTGAGCACATTAGCACCAACCTTATGATTGTGGATCCCTTAACAAAAGGATTGCCGCCCAAAATATTTAAAGAATATATTGAAAGGATGGGTATTATTGGATGTCATTAATGATTGTACTATGAGTGCATTAAGTTTATTTATTTGACACTATGAGCTCAATTATGTGTTTTCCGATATTTCCCGTTTTCTATTTGGTATACATGATGGAAATAGATGAATGTATAACGTGACGGTCGCCTCTAATAGAGACATTATAGTTTGACCATTACTATACTTCTCATTTATGCCGCCCGTAGCTCGCCTCCGTCGCCGTCAGACCGTCATTCCGGCCAGGCAAGCTCGCCAGGCCGAGCGTGCCTGGCCGTGCTCGAGCTCGCCGGTCCGAGCGTCCCGTGGTCGTGGCCGAGCCGTTGCCCACGCGCACCAGCCGCGCGCCCGCTCGCCCAATCGTGGCTGTCGCCGCGCGCGTGCCCGTCCGACCCAGGGCGCGTCGCCCGCCAGTGGCACAGGCGCCTTGCCCGTCCCGGCTTGCCGTGCGCCCGGGCACGCTCGTTCGGCCACCGCGCCCGCGCGCCCAGGGCGCGCGTCGTCCGGCCATTGTGCCCGCGTTGGCCGGCCACCGCGCCCTTGTTGGCCCGCGCCCGCGCCTAGTTCGGCACTGTTCACCCGGGCCATTTTAGGCCCGAGCCGATTTTCTCCGGGCCAAAACCAAGTAAGTGACTTTCTAAACCCTACCTAGTACTTTGGGTATTTTTAGACTTGTTTAGGATGTGATTAGTATCGGGTTAGGAATTAATTTAGGCGTGGGCTAATTAGATTAAGTGTGCCCGATTTATGAATTATTGTGGTGATAATTGTGTGGCTAATTTAGTGATTGACTGAGGTAAATAGCATGACTGAATTGTCGTGGCGCTTGTGGGTGAATTGGAATCAATTGAATGTGTTGACTTGAATGTCGGGTCGGTGGGCCGATGTGGGGAGCATGAATTGAGTGGACTGACGTGGCGTGCTAGATTGATATTGGTGAAAGGGTGGTGATTGAAATTGATTTATATGACTAAGAGCATGGTGAATTTTGTATTGTGGTTGTCTGGACACACTTGGGTGATATTTGAACGTGTGAATGTCATGAAATTGATTGAATTATGTGGCGTGTATGCTTGACAAGCCCGGATTGATCGGAGGGCTGACCTGTGGGGTGTTGACCCGGGTCGTGTGAAAGTAAGAAAGGTCCTCAGGGGTGTTGACCGGGACAGAGCCCGATTGATCGGAGGGCGGACTCAGTGGGGTGTTGACCTGGTCGTGTGAAAGTTTGTTTTTGAAAGGTCCCGTGGGGTGTTGACCGGGACGAGCCGGATTGATCGGAGGGCGACTGTGTGGGTGTTGACCCGGGTCGTGTGAAAATTTGTTTTTGAAAGGTCTGTGGGTGTTGACCCGGGACGAGCCCGATTGATCGGAGGCCGTGACCTATGGGGTGTTGACCGGGTCGTGTGAAAGTTGGATGGATGCGCATGTGAAATGTGTTTGGGTTGAATTGGATGAACGTACGTGTGTATGGCGCTCGAATGATTTTGATGTGTTCATTGACTATTATTGCATTATTATGATTTGACTAATGTGCTAGATATGGGCATGTGATTGGATGGCGAGGTAAGTCCATTTATGTGAATTATATATATGTAATCGGGTAGATTGCATGCTGAACTTGTCTGGGTACGCATTGGCCTATGTGGGGTATAGGGGGTTGCTTATTGAGACTCGTTCTCACGGTTATTATATAACCATTTTCAGATCTGCGACCGTGATTGATTGGAGACGACACCAGGGTATCTCGGGGATGGAGGACGGGTCAAGTTACCCCATATTTTGTGTGCCCCTCTTTTGTATAGCGAAGTAGGATACCCCACCACTATTCCCTTTTGATGTTGTGTATTTGGAATTATTGTTTTGTTCTATCCCTTTGTCATATTTTATTGGCTGGGTTGTTTTAAATTCGCTTCCGCTTGCCTTTATCGTTGGGTGTTTCGTTTGGGTCGGCGACGCGTCCTGGGACGTCGCGTTCAATACGACCGTTGAGGGGTGTCGCGAGCCCGTTGGGGTCCGGGGCGTGACATAAATGTTCAGCAAGAGCAGTTCCAATTCAGAAAGGTGACAAATTTGGTCTTATGCAATGTCCGAAAAGTGAATTGGAACAAGAACGAATGAAAAGTATTCGCTATGCATCTGTTGTCAAAAGCTTAATGTATGCACAAACTTGCACCAGACCATAAATTCGTTTTGCTATCGGAATGCTAGGCAGGTATCAAAGTAACCCAAGATTAGATCATTGGAAAGCTGTAAAGAAAGTTCTCAGATACTTGCAAGGAACGAAGAATCACATGCTCACTTATAAAAGATCTAATCATCTTGAGGTGATTGGATATTCAGTTTCAGACTTCGCCGGATATACCAATACAAGAAAATTAACTTTTGGTTACTTGTATCTTTTGGCTGGAGGCGCAATTTCATGGAAAAGTACAAAGCAGTCAGTTATTGCTACATTTACTATAGAGGCTGAGTTTGTGGCATGCTTTGAGATCACTATTCATGGGATATGGCTGCGGAACTTTATTTTCAGGGCTTATGATTATCGACAGCATTGCCAAGCCACTGAAAATTTATTGTGATAACTCTGCAACAGTTTTCTTCTCTAAGAACGACAAGTACTCCAATGGTGCTAAACATATGGAGATTAAATACTTGTCCGTTAAAGAAGAAGTTCAGAAACAAAGAGCGTCAATTGAGCACATTAGCACCAACCTTATGATTGCAGATCCCTTAACAAAAGGATTGCCGCCCAAAATATTTAAAGAATATATTGAAAGGATGGGTATTATTGGATGTCATTAATGATTGTACTATGAGTGCATTAAGTTTATTTATTTGACACTATAAGCTCAATTATGTGTTTATGATATTTCCTGTTTTCTATTTGGTATACATGATGGAAATAGATGAATGTATAACAGGACAGTCTCTAATAGAGACATTATAGTTTGACCGTTACTATACTTCTCATTTATGGATCATGTTAAGTAGGGAGCTATAGTTGTAGTACATGGAAGGGACTATGTCGATTAATGGCATACAACCGCTATGACTCGCATTAGTTTCTTTATTTAACTGTGATCATTATGTGATAGGCAATTTAAGAAAGGTTTTAGCATAATGTTATTGTGCACATTATGGTCTTTATTAAACCATGAAAGGAAGGTCATATGGGCCAAGTGGGAGAATGTAAGAATAATGTGGCCCACATGATGTTATGAATTAATGGTTTAATAAATATTTATGTGCTAAAACATATTGGCTATGAAAAATAGATGAAAATGTATAATTCTATTGAGAAGTTAAAGTTACTCCGAAGAGGTGCAACTCTTATGAAGTGGGATATGCTTTGATGGAAGGCACCACTTGAATGGGTATATATAAAAGAATCTAATCCTCTCTCCACCCACGATAACGCACGAAAAGAACGTTGTATTTTTATCCTCTATTGATAAGATACGTTAAGCAAAAAGTGGGTTAAGGGAGAGAAATCAGATTTCTTCATTTCTTCCGTTTTCTACAACAATTATCTTCAAGGGAAATGCTATGGATAAAGGTATGTCTCCATCCCTCTTATTGTGAAAATAATGAAGATCTAAGATCCTAGTTCATAAATTTTCTGCATAAAAGTATTACGTTATAACTTACATTTCTTTCAAGGAATTCTAGGCCTGTCCCCAAGATTCTCTCCAAATGAATTCCTTGCCGAGGTGAAATATTTAAAGCATTTCAAAAGGTCGCAGCGACTACGCCATCTCTGGGAAGGCGTAGAGTAGTCACAGGTTGAAGACCACATTGTGGACAGACGCTAATGTAGCTTGGGCAGTGATGCTATTGAGAAGACATTGCCAAATGATATGCTTGATCTCATAAGAGTGTCGAATTTCCGTACACAATCCCGGTTCATGTGGCTTGTATTCGTCTCCGCAACATCATTGGCAGCCTCATAGGTCGGTGTATGCTAAAATCACTGAATTCCAATGCACTTTGCTGTGTCTGGCAATCGGAACAGCGCAGATTGTACTCAAAATACTGTCATTTAGTAGCATATAGAGACCGCTGAAGTTCCAATTACCCAGTCTATTCCAACAATCTATTAAGGATTTCTTCACCTTCATTGAGAGGGCCAACTACAGAATTCCTTAATGGTTCCAAGACCCGATCAGTTGACGTCCCAAAGCGGAGCCTTCGTCGTTAGTACCATAACGTATGCCTTTACCAAACACTCTCTTCGACTTTTTTACAATGACTAATCAGACGATATTGATTCAAAGAATCAGGACCTCGAAACTAGGGAATAATGGAATTCAAAGTGTCCCAAACTCCTCGAGGCACGACTCTACAGTTAAAATAAAATATTGACAAGCGAACAAACAGAGTCGCTTACACTACCCATTTGAGGTTTTTGGGAAAAGATTGCGGGAACCCCATCAGGACCGCCGGCCTTCAAAGGCTTGAGCTCTCAAAGAGCTTTTCCGATGGTATTTGAAGTGACATGCTCCTGAAGACTCTGAATAGCATCATGGGGAAGAGATTTGACCTAGTTCGAAGGAAGCACAGGGATTCTCGGGGAGCAAACATGAGAGGTAGAGAAAAGGTTTATTAAATGATTCAATTAGTAGCATAAGAATTAGACTCTAAGTTTGAGCTTAAAACTTCGCTGATAGCTTTGTATTTATAGAGTTTATCTGCTAGCTATTACAATAATTACATGAGATAAGCATAAACTAATTCAAAATATTTTTAATTTTGAATTAGTATGTTACAATAATAACTACATGAGTTACAATTATATTTCGTCGGAAATGTTCTCGTGACGAAATATAATTTACTGAACGTCGTTCTTCGGCTCTTAATGAAAGGAGGCTGGGTTCTAGATCCAATTCCGGACAGGAGCAATCCATGCGTGAATAAAGAACTTGATTTTTACAGAATATTCAGACGAAACCGTCCAATTACTGACGGCGTCCAAAGTTCATTGACATGATATAATAAAGCTACTAACTAAGGACCTAAACAACTACAGCTATGGAAACTGAAAGCACGAAACTGGAAAGTAAGGATAAAAGACAGCATTTATTTTTTTTATGTGCCAGGGGGGCACTTCTATTGATAATCAGACACTATTTATAATGCAGACTTGGCAACCGTTCTTGGCATTGTATCCGATACCCATCGTTGATTTCATCTTCACCGTTCATTTAATGACACATGTTTATCAACTTCTATCGATCTTATCTTTTGTACGAAGTGATAACCACTCTTGAGCTTTCTCTGTGCTGATATCTGTCCTTAGTATGATAATTGTCACTGAACCCCTTTTATCTTCTGAAATGATAACCATCATCGAGCCTATTTGTTTTCTAGAATGACAACCGTCATCGAGCCCATTTGTTCTCTAAGGCGACAACCGTCATCGAACTTTTCTTTATTTGTCACATGTCCTTTGGGATGGTAATTATTATCGAGCTTTTCTCCGTTTGACATCTGTCCTTCGGGACGATAGCCATCATCGAGCTTTTCTCCGTTTGACACCTATCTTTCGGGATGATAACCGTCATCGAGCTTTCCTCCGTTTGACACCTATCCTCTAGGATGGTAACCATCATCGAGCTTTTCTACATCTGTCACCTTTCCTCCGGAAATAGGGACCTTCGTCGAGCTTTTCTGACTTGACACCCATCATCCTTTTTATCGATGTCCTTGATGAAAAATACCTTTGGCACTTTTAGTCCAGTTTTTCCTGGTTTGACACTTGCTCTTCTGGAGCAAAGGCTTTCATCAAGTCCTTCCTAGCTTAGCATTCACTCTTCTCCTTGTCGACGTCCTCGATGAAAATACCTTCGGCACTTTTGGTCCCCATTCATCTGAATTTCAAATTTTTCACTTATGACTATCAGTACTTACCAGCTGTCTTACATGAATCATCTCAGTACGGGCAACGTCATCTCTTGTCGTTTTATTCATCTATCCTAAGTGTCGACAACCCTAATTAATTTCAGATGTCAACATATGCCCCATTTTAAAAGAATTAATTCTTTTAAGACAAATTTTGACCTGAATAATCTTAATCTTAATGCCTCGTAACTTGTATTTGCTCATCCTTCCTGAAACGCTTCGCTTTACTCTGACACGTCATCTTGATCATTTATGACCTAGCAGATCTTCATGATAGCAAATCACTTGAAACATCATATCCTGGCGAAAAAATCGTAACTTTTGACCTTCCACCTTCTTCTTCAATTCTAAGTTTTCTTCTCAGTTTTACAATCCTTCGTTTCTTTTCAAATTTCTCAGTCAGTCCGCATTCATGGCCCGCAAATATTCTCCCAAATCATATATTGAGAAATTCGATCAACTACATCATGATCAAGAGTCTCCGAACTGTGACTTTCGACTATTGCACTTGGTCAATGAATCCTCCGACCAACTTATTCTGAGTTCTTGTTTTCACAATTATCACTAGATTCCCACTTCTCTTCGTCCCTGTTTTCCAAAGAGAATAGGAGAGCTTCTTACTGTTCAGAAGTCTTCGATTGCAGACATCTGGTTTCCAAAAACCTCACGATTTCGTGGGTTTCCTTCTCTTGAAATGGGTTTTCACAGCTGGTACGTGAGATTAAAGGGAGACATAACCACTCGCCTTGCTTGGATGAGAGCTGGCATTGATATCGCTCTAGAGGTCAACATGCTGTCATATGATTTAAATCTAGGGCTTTTGGGTGCTGCCATCAGTTTCTGATCCCCTTCGCCCAATTATTTCTTTTTTCCCTAGAGCCCTATGTTTGGGCAAAAGAACACTACAAGTGCCATAACTTGTGTACGGCGCTCACTTTAGTGCCATTACTTTTTTTGGATCACTTTAGTGCTAAAATTTTTGAAAAACGATCACTTAAGTGCTAAAATTTTTGAAAACGATCACTTAAGTGCCAACTCCGGTCTTGTACACAATTTTTCGCCGAAATCCGACGTGGCATTTTTTTATTAATTTCTGAAGCCGACGTGGCTCGCCGGAGTCTCGTCGGAGATTGGCACTTAAGTGATCGTTTTCAAAATTTTAGCACTTAAGTGATCGTTTTTCAAAAATTTTAGCACAAGTGATCCAAAAAAAAAGTTATGACACTTAAGTGATCGTTTTTCCGACTTGGCACCAAAGTGATCCGAAAAAAGTTATGGCACCAAAGTGAGCGCCGTACACAAGTTATGGCACTTATAGTGTCCTTTTGCCACTATGTTTGTTACTCTTTTGGACATGTACGCTATTACTAATTTTCCTCCGATTGGGACCCCCGTAAGTGACATGGCTTCGCTATCAGTACCCTTTATCCCTGATGAACATCTTGCTTATGGTAGATTTCTAGAAACATATTCTCTTAGTGTCAAGCCAATAACCCCTGACGAACATTCTTGTTTCCTCTTCTTCTGGCTGTCTAAATATGTGACATCCGGAAATTTCGTAATTATATGTTTGTGACGTTAGAAATTTCTATGTTTGAAAATGATACTTAGATTTAAAGCTAAGTATTATTTTCTTGAGTATTCGTGTGACGCGTAGGAATTTTCGTTGGATCGTATTTCGCGGCGCGACCGGAAACGTAATCGTGCGAGTATGACGTGTTTAATATTTAGACGTTGTCGTGTGCGTAATCGTAGTGCGGTATTAATTAGATTACCGTCGTCTTGGTAATTAGTGGGCATTATTATTATTATTATTATTATTATTATTATTATTATTATTATTATTATTATTTTATCTTAGTTAAGTAAGGTTATTGCCGTAAGAAAAAGAGGGAAGAAATCTGCTCAAAAATATCCTCTGGACTCTTATTTCCCTCACGTGGTCATGTCGAAGAAGAGTTGACCGAATGCCATTTGTCCCCTTGGGCTAGACACCTAAGCCTTGGGTAATCATTTCCCTTGGCCAATACTCCTACGATTAAGCCGTTGATTTCTTCCACCGGCCTTGATGAAGAGATAAGGTGCCACATGTGAATACAATGAATTTACCCACCCCTTCGTATACCTCTCTGTTTTCACTTTTGCCTGGGTAATTACCAAGATCATTTCACCCAAACTCATACTCTCTCCTTCACTTTCTACTTTCACCATCACCGATCCAAAATTTCCGGAAGAGTTTTAAGCTTTGGGGTGTTCGATTCCGTGCAAGGTAAGTGAAAATTCTAGGTTTAAGCTAAGTAAATCTACTTGGCACTTGCAACTTGGTTGCTTGAGAAAGGTTATTTTGAGGTGCAATAGTGAGGTTGTGATGATGGTTGAATCTGTTTTGCTTGGTTGCTGCAAGTTCAAATGGATGTGATTGTTTCCTTAAAGTATGGCGATAATCGGCAAGCGGAACGATTAAATCGGAACGTGTAGTGTTAATTTTGAGGTGATTGTTGGATTCTTATTATTGGTTTATGTATGTTTAAAAAGGGTAGAAAATCGTTTTACTCAAAGTGATGATTATGTTTATTTTGATACTCAAAGTGATGATGATGTTTATTTGATATTCAAAGGGATGATTTTGTTTATTTTTGAAACTCAAGCGTATTTAATCTGAAAATTTGGTTTTGTGTACCTTGAATCGCTAAGACTTTGTTATCAAAAACTGCCTGTACTTTTGAACCCGCTTCGTACTTTGCTATCAAAATCGGTTCGTCCACTTTGGAAAATATTCCGTACTTTAACTTCATACTTTACCTTCGTACTTTACTTTCGCACTTTACCTTAGATTTAACATCTAGACTTTGCAGCTCGACTCTACTTTTTAAAAATTTCTTAGACTTTGCCGCCGGATTTTACCTGTCGTAATTTACCGTTCATATTTTACTCATTCGCATTTACTATTCGATTTTACTATTCATATTTACTGTTCGCACTTACTTATAAAACTGACCTCAGACTTTATTGTTCGTAACCTACTTTGAGTCCGACCCGCCCCGAGTCCGAATTCTACTTCCGAGTCCGAATCCGCCCGAGCATGAACCCGCTTCGAGTCTTAACTGCTTCCGAGTCCGAACTTGCTTCCGATGACTCGAATTTGCTTCAACCCAAATTGCTTATGAGCCGAGCTGCTACCGAGTTTGAAATGTATTGTTTCATGTTTAAAATTGCCTTCGGATGATGCATTTCATGGCTTTAAAGTACAAAACCGTGATGGCTCTGGTATGGGACGGGCCAAAGCGGACTTTTGCATATAAATACTTGGTTGTCATGACTTGCATGGGAATAATATTAATTCCGTCGCCCATTTAGTGGTGTGTGATGATGCCCGTGTGTCGGGATGCCCCGTTGGTCGGGATGCCCCGGGAGTGTTTCGGGATGCCTCGGGAGTCGAGATGCCTCGTTGGTCGGGATGCCCCGGGTGTGTGCCGGGATGCCTCGGAGTTGGGATGCCCCGTTGGTCGGGATGCCCCGGGAGTGTTCGGGAGGATGAAGTAATGAACCTAATCGAATGAGCATAAATGTTTTACATCATGCTTGCGGTAAGTGAAAATATCATGGTATGTTGCATTATTCAGATTTTGCGGCACATCCAGACGGAAAAGGTATAACTTGCATTCAAGTTCTATG